CTCATGCTTGAACTTTACTCAGTGTGGCTTAGGGCCAGATTGATTTGATCAGTTGTTTATTTATCAATAAAAAGTTGAAAACTGCATTTTATATTTAACTTGGTTGCCTTCATCTATTATCAATATCGGTTGGATGGTTTATTACATTTGTAACGGGGTAAATGTTCTTGTACTATGTAGTTGTCCTACTGCTTTCTCATCGTTTTTGCAAGGTGATATCCTCTTAAATTATGCTCTGAAAAAGATTCAGTCCACATATACTGTATGAACACTATCATGTTTTTCTATCTCTCCGTGTTTCAGGGCTACTGTCATACTGTAGATGCGGCTGTGTTGTATAAACTTTGCTGTTTCGTTTAACCCTTTAAAGCCAGATCCAAGAATAAAACAAAACAGAATTTTTTTTTTTTTGGTTTGAAGTCCTTATTTGGCCTTTTAACAAAATATGCAAAAAGAAAAAACAGAAATACATTTTTGATATTAATAATTTATTACTATGCGATAAGTCAAGATTATTTTTTGTGTAGTCTTCTGCCCTCTGTTATCAGGTATATCTGATTGTGTACAATAGGATTTTGAGCAAAGTTTTTACCATTAAATTATACAAAAGGTGTCAGATGCAAAACATTTTAGAAACCGTATGTATCAAATATGATACATTTGGCATTACAGGGTTAACTTGTATGCAGAAAAAAAACAGCATCTTCTGTTGAAACTTTTTCTAGTCCAGTGGTTGTAGGAGGCTGGCATAAAAAGGATTCATATAATCTTAGGTCTGAAAGATTTAATTGGATTAATCGTGATTAATCAATTGTTGAAATAATCATCAACTAATTTAATAATTGATTCATTGGTGACTGGAGTATAGAGACTCTAAAACAGGCCTTTAGCTGACAGAGCTACCCACTTAGAGCAGCAGTTGAACCAACGTTGTAAAGGAATATCTAAGTATTTTGCATCTAAGATTTAAAAAAAATCTTTTTCATCTGTCAATATGCTCTACCAAATACTCCACAATTGGAAAAATTTTATTCTGTCGTGGTTTATTTCTTTAAAAATAATTTTCTTTAAGAAAACTTTGGCTATCTGATTACAACATGGTTACTCAAAAAATAATCCACAGATTGATCGATTAGCAAAATATAATTTTTTTTTGTTGCAGTCCTATGTAACATGTGGCTTAATATGGTAAAAAATGTTTTCATGTTATTGAAATGGCTTAGTGTAAACCTTGGCTGTTCAGGCCTTTCTTATTTGGGTTTTTGCTTTAGCAAGTATCCACATTTTCTAACAAAACCCAAAATAATTTAAAAATTGCTTAATTATATATATATATATATATATATATATATATATATATATATATATATATATATATATATATATATATATATATATATATATATATATATATTTTTTTTTTTAAACAGTGTCCTGTCTGGTGATGTGGCAATAAGAATAATTGTCTTGATGCCAAAAAGAGCCCAACAGATTTTACTTTCACAAGTGGAGCAGTATGGCTATCGCCATACTTTTCTGCTTGATTTATGCATATAAATAGCTTTATTTTAATTCATGCAGGGAGTTTTACAGATTATATGGACATTGCAATGTAAGTAGAACAGGAAAGGAAAAGAAAAGGAGAAAAGATGAAAGAAAGAGGAGATAGAAGGGGAGATAAAAGGGAAATAACAATAAAACATCTTCAGTCTGCTTCATCACCTGCAAAGAGATGTAAGAAGAACAGCACAACCAACGGATACAGTATAAGAGATACAATAAAGTAACACCTAGATACTATCGCTGAAGTATAAGTGGTATTAATTAATCTGAAATGTATACTGTGGTAGCTGAAGATAAGAGTATGGGCTTTCTGTATAAAGGTATCTTATATCTTTTGTTTTGACTCTCAAATCTAAATTTTGCGCTGTTAAGGCAGTTTTAATGCAAGTAATTATTTAAAGCGAGTAACGCTGAAGTTATGAGAATGTAGTGAACTACAATTAAGTTGTAAAAGTCATGATTTATAACTTTGAAGAACACTTGCAGTTAAATTAAATACCCTTATATTTGCTCAGAGTTATTTGTGCAACCTGCAACCTTTGTGCAATCTACAAACATTAGAGATGGAAGTTTTCTCAAGGTTTCAGAATAGAATAGCCTCTATCTATCTATCTATCTATCTATCTATCTATCTATCTATCTATCTATCTATCTATCTATCTATCTATAGAGAGGGAGAGAGATCTATATGTGGGTGTGTGTATTTACACCTTTTTATGGGGGGTGATTTTAATTTTTTTTTTGCTATAGTTTAATGTAGTTTTCCTTGCATGGTGTAGATAATTTGTACCCTGTAGGTGTAAAGGGTTGCACGTCTGAGTGAAGTAGAAGCCTGCAGTGCAGTCACAGAGGAATCTACTGTTATACAGCCTGATAAGACCCCAGCTATTTTGAGAAAACGATGTAGTAGTGTTCCCTTAGCTTCACTCCCTTCTCCCAGCAGGAAAATGCCCCAGACTTACAAACTCTCACAAAGCTCTCTTTTATTAGTTTGGACATGTTTTTTTTTTTTTTGCTAGTTTTATCAATTTTGAACAATCATAAAATCAAGAAACACATTATGACGAGAATTATTATTATATTCTTTTCTTATTATTATGACAAACGGTGCATACCTACAGTATTCAGCGTGGAAAGCTATTCACCATCATAGTTTCATATTTTTGGTAGAGTTATATGAGGTATCATTTAGCTATTTAAATCAAACTGGCACAATTATTCATTGTGCACATTTTCAATCTGCACATTCTTTCCACAGCAATTTTAATGCTTGGCAGTGTACAAGCTTTTGGTTGTCATTGGAAACTGAGTCTAAAACTTGATAGTATTTAGATATGCCTCCTTGCTGTCATTTCAAAGAGCATTTTCCATCATGAGTAATGAATAATTCATGGGGGACTTTGTTAGGTCAGCCTTGTTTTCTTGTCATTTCAAATGGTCCTGTTAAAAAGGACTGAGGACAAAGTGTAAAAATGTATACATTAGAAGTACAAGTGTTATTTATTGCATTTAAATACTTGATATAGTGCACAGAGAATGAGGTAAACAGGTTTTTAGAAGTTATTATTATTGTCAAAGAAAACTGCATAAGCTAGTGGCAAATGTAGTAGCAGGTAAATACTCTTGCTTGCTAATCTTTCAGATACTAGGAATATCAACTAAAAAGATTTGCACAAACTTGAGAATTAATTTCTATGACTTTTGCTAAAACTCTTACTGCATGTACTCTTATGTTTCTCCACATTGCATCAAACTAATCCATGAATATGAAATTTGTACATTTTATTGCCCTTAAAGCTTAATACAGCCAATAGCTTCTGCTTTAACTCATCTCAGCGTAGTGTAGTCTGACATTGTAAAATAATAAAGTAATGGCTGCTTTTATAAATATCAAAAGGTTAGCTAGAAACCAACCCAATCTGTGTTTTGATCCAGTGCTATGCAAAACTATGCTTATTATTTTCTAAATTTTCATCAGCGTAACCAGAACTCTTTCTTTAAGAGTTAATTGCTAGTTGTCTTATTACCTTAACTACAATTGTACAGTTCTGTTTATTTATCCAATATATTTCAGTCATGCAAAGATTAGGAGTATTAGTTAGGAGTACATTTTAGTCTATGCCCTCTGTGGGTCAGCCTGCATCCCACTAATGCTGCTCTAGATTTTGAGCGCATCAATTCTTCTTTTTAATGAGCATTTCTTTGATAACAATGATGGACATTCTTCTTTAGCTCCTATACCAAGACTTTGAAAGCTGCCAACTTTCTGTCTTGTAGTGAAAGGTTCTGAGACAGGTAAGGAAGAGACAAAGCTAAAACAACACTGCTTATATACTCAGGGGACACTCAGCTTGCCTTGGAACTGTTATGTTTTATTGGGGGGACTGAGACATAGCAAAAGTACAAGAGAAAATGTTTGGTTGTTTTTTGTGTGTGTTTTTTTTCTTGGCTTGTGCACCTAATGGTATGCAAATGAGAGCAGAATGTAAATGTGATTGTAGATGCATGGTCATGATCAGACAGAAATAATACACTGTCATGTAAGATAAGTTTTTTAATGAAAGGGAAAGCATTGACCTACAGCACAGGAAATGGAAACTAACATTTCTTACTGCGCTGAAAGGGAGAGAGGGTGTGAGAGGGTGGGACATCACCCAATCCTTACATATGGGTAGTCATTAGTTATTTACAGATATAATTTGCAAGCGCCTGAAAAAGGATGATATAAAAAAAAAAAAAAAAAAACAGTTGTTCGTTCTAAGTTTTAAGGTCCTCAAAATAATTTCTGTTAAGGGCCTCATTCAGCGTTTCTTTGGACAGGATAACTTAAATAAAGAAAGTCCTGCTCTTTTAAGACTGGGCATTTACCTGAATATTTATCTCTATAAAATCCAGTAGCAGATGTCAAATATCTGTTTGTCAGATTACCAGATAACCAAAATTCTGGTTGCTTAAAAGGTTTTTATTGTTTTTCCCTTTCAATTACTGCTATCTACTTACATATCTATCACAACACTTTCTCATCAAGAGTTTTTAACATTTGCGTGGTGGTGTCATCTAGCCCCATCTAGTGTTTTCACTGAATATGTGCATGGGCAAGTCAGGAGAAAAATGTGAGTGTTACTAAAAATTGTGCCTATGTCAGTGCCTGTAGATTTTTGACAGCTAATTAGTCAGACAGGTTGACAGATGACATGATCTTGGTCAAAACAGCAGTCAAATGATAGCAGGGAGACCAACACTAACTATCCCAACTAAACCTAACCAAGTTGAAAGACTGAAGATTAAATGGAAATCCTCTGTAAATTGTATTTGCTTCCAAATTGTGTTTATATTGTGTTGCATTTTTTGTTTTTTTCTTTATAAAAATACAGAAACTAGAGTAGCTTTACTACTAAAATGACATTTCATCTCATTATTTTTCCTTCACCTTACAGCAGCCAGCAAAGCAGTCAGCAGAGCAGCCTGCAGAGCAGCCATGAAGATGAAAGCACTCGCTTCTTGACACCACAGATCCGAGAGGAGAGGTGAGGAGTTTCTGTGTGTGTGTGTGTGTGTGTGTGTGTGTGTGTATGTTTGTCTGTAAAACTGTAATCCTGCTGAAAGATTCAGCTCAAAACCTTACTTGGGAAAAGATAGATTTAATGTTCAATTTGATAAAAAATATTTAGTTTGCATTAAATGTGAATTCAAAGATGTCTGGAATCTTAATTTTCTATTTCTTAACTAAGAGGGGGGCAGAGCTGGTCACCAACCAGCAGACTTGACAGGCCCTCTGTCAGAGATGTTCAACTCCTGACTCTTGGAGAGTTTTTTCAAGATTCTGGGGTAGGCTGGAGACATTGGAGTACGACATGGCCCTTTTCTCTGTCTTTTTTTTACTGATGAGGCCATCCATAGCTGTGGCAATGAGTTCTGTGGTGCCTGTTGTGGCCTCAATCCCGGAACCCAGTGGTGGACACTGGCAACAAGGGATGTTGTCCAGGTGTAGAAGGAGTTCTATCGTTTGCTTGTGGGACTCCTGAGGTTTGGTTTCGGGATCAGCAGATCTCTTCCCTGCTTCTGCAGAAGTTGTGGTTCTACTGCCTCCCTCCTACCAAGACCTACTGCATGCACTGAGAAAGTTTGCAGCCAAGTGTGAAACAGGCAAAATGTGAATCAGCTCCTCCAAGTCCGAATCCATGGTTCTTGACAAGAAAAAGGTGGCTTATCCCCTTCAGGTTGGAGCAGAGTTCCTGCCTCCAGTGGAGGAGTTTAAGTATGTTGGGGTCCTGTTCACAAGTGAGAACGGAGTGGGAGATCAATAGAGGGATTGGTGTGGTTGCTGCGATATTGTACTTGGAGACAGTGTGAGGAGCTCGGTGAAATGGGAGGGGCTCGGAAGGAGTCAGCTGAGGTGGCTCAGGAATCTTTTTCGGAATGCCCGAAAAAGGTTTCGGGCAAGGTATATATATATATATGCTGTATAAATCAGCTGGATGGCATGATTTTGGCACCGATGACTTCCTTACTTACTCATTTCATTCACGGGTCCATTTCTACCCATCGCTCATCTGAGCCACCTGCTCCTGCCTCTATTTAAGGTGCTTGCATCAAGTCATCAGGGCCTGATTATTCTTGTTTTCTCATGCCAGTGGTGAGAGGGTTTTTAGTGTTTCTGATTTCCTGATTCTGATCTGTTCTGCCTCTCAGCTACTGTTTTTTTTTCTCTCCAGCTTTTATTGTCATTAACTGTCAAGTACAGAGCAACAAATTTAACCCATTCCTTTGAGGATCAGAGGGCTGCGTCTGGGGAGCATTGTGGGGTTAGTCTATGGAAGTGGGGCTTGAACTCAGAAGCAAGTGCAATGCCCTAACCATTAGGCCACCACTCCTGTTCCCATTCCCATCTGATCTCAGTGGTGAGAGGGTTTTTTTTAGCATACCTTAGGTGTTTCTGGTTACCTGATCCTGACCTCTCCTCATCTCAAACACTGAGCCTGCCTTTTCCCATCTGAATAGTTCATCTGAACTTTCTTTGAACTCCTGGACCTCTGAGCCTTCCTGTTCTGATCTGGTTGTCTGACCTTGCTTCGAACTCCTGCTTGTTCTCCGGGGCTGCAGCATCTAAGACACACTAGGTGGCACCCGCCACATCTTGTTGGCAGCCCACCAGCTGGATCCTACCTTGTTTTCAGGACAGGGCTGAACTTTTAAACCAGAGTTTCCTGTGATAGATGCCCTACTCGCTGCTACTCAGATCATCAGTGTTTTAAATAAACACTTTTGAAATATCCCACTGTCTGTCTTACCTCGAATACTGGGTCCTCTGTGCTGAGTCATGACACTGGGCTGCTGTAATGTACGAATGCCATATTTTAGGAATGTTGTCTTCTCAGTCGGTTTGTTGCTGAGTATGGAAAATAGTTTAGAAGTACTGAGAATAAAAAAATAAAAATTCTTATTTGATCACTCTATATGAAGTGTTGGTGAATACACTACATATATCTTAACATACATTTCATATATTTAATGCTTCTGCTTCATTATTTCAAGCATATAAAAAGCCAAAATAAAGACTAACCCCTATAGATTGCTTATTCTTTTTATGAGCTGATTTCTTGAGATAAAATACTGTATAACATTGATATGAGCTTCGATAAATACATCAAAATTGAACTTGATCTATCTGAAAATCCATCCATTTTCTTCAACTTATTTGTCAGAGTCACCAATAAACTCCCCAGCCTATCGGTAAAAGGCAGATTACACTCTCAACAGATTGCCAATTTATTCCACAGCATAGAGATACGATACACACACACTTAAACCTATAGGACAATTTAGAGACCCAATTTTTCTAATGCCAGTTATCCTAGATTTGGACTTTGGGAGATAGCTAGAGTATCTGGAGAGAACCCATACATGCATAGGGAGAACATGCAAACTCCATGTAGAAAGACCCTAAGCTGGGAATTGAACCCAGAACCTTATGCTGCAAGGCAAAAGTGCTACATTCTGAGCTATCTTGCAGCCTGGATTCTACCTAAAAATGAGTTATGTAAATCTAAAAATCACTTGATCTACAACTGCTGCCATTTTGTGAAAAAACAATGTAAAAATTTTGTAGTTAAATAGAGAATCTATCAGGTCATCTTAGTCTGGGAGCTTCTAATAATCTCTGTCAGCATGAGCTTTACTCTACACCTCCACTCTGTCTCTCTTTCCGCTCACTGGCTCTCACTGCTGCGCAGTTTTTTCTGGCTGAGTGTATGCTCTTGCTGGAATTAGGGACACTACCTGTCAAACCTATGGGATTTTCGGCTCCTTTTGTCTTTGCTGTTCTCGTGTTAGCTTGCGAGGGGCATCTGAAGCAGCTGCTAGGGGAGCAGCGTTCTGTAGCCAGCTTTACAGGGCACGGAATGTCATGTCTCCTCTGCAGGTAAAGTCAGCTGCATTTCTGCATGGACACTGAACGGCTGCCTGTCCCATACCGCACCTGTGCCACTGTCTTCATCTTTCTCATTCCTGCTTATTTCCCCCTCCTGCTGCATCTGCCTACCCATAGATTATTATGCAGTTCACTCACAGTGCATTTTTGCTGAGCTGACAGCAAGCTTTCAGCTAATATGTGTATCGGGCTGTAACATTTAGCTTCCTGTGCGATACATTAGTTGTATCCGGGGGTGCCTTGGTTAAAAAAGTGATGAGCTACTGATGAAAAGAAAACATTTTTTTATTGCCCTACTTTTGCCTCAGATGTTTCTCAGTACAACCCCGCCAGGATAACTGCAGACAGCCTTATATAATATTGCAAAATGACTTTGCTAAATGAGTCTAATTTGAGTTAGGGCTGAGGATGATGCAGCATAAGATTAAGCGAGAGAGATAAACACTGTAACACTTGTAATCAATTTCGCAGTTTATAATAAAAACATAAATCTGTAATGTCTAGAAACATGAAATGCCTTGTGATATATATGATGTGGGATGGCTTTGCGGTTTTTTTTTCAGACATTAAAGGTATACTGAACATTAAAATGGAGTAGTAAAATTTCGGATCAAATAATTCATAGTCATATTCTTTACCTGCTGTTGAAAGTGAGTATACTACATTTTGCAATTATGCAATCATAAATAGCTAGGTATTTTCAAAGTATTGTAGGTAATTGACTGAAAAAACGTCTATAATTTTAAAGTGAAAAAACATATATACTTTTTCTTTATATTTCCTTTAGTAATAAAAATCAAATCAGCTCCAGAATGCCTCCTGTGCTCTCTAAGCAGCCCACTGCTCTATGATAGGTTAGAAGCAGAGTGCCTGTGTAAATTCCCAGACATCCGGGTCCTGGCAACCACATAACAGGCGTAAATAATGGCTCTCGCTGCCGACAGAATTTACAGACTCCTGAAAAGATGTCACTACATCTTCAGATAAACTGAGCAAAAGTTGCTTCCCATTTAGGCTTGTTTTTAGGTTAAATTCAGAGGTCAAATTTCACTATATTGTGTATTTGCAGTGACCAATAAAACTAATAATCCTTGTTTATCTGTTTTCTTTTCTGTCTCATCAGCAGCAGATGAGCCAAACTGTTCTTGCATGGTGCTTGTGTTCCTGCGACAGGCACCATGCAATAGTGTCCAAACCTCCATTTATTATAAATTTAAAGATTGTGTTAAGTGATTTCACTAATTTTCTTTTGAATTTTCTTTAAAGGTCCCATATTATGCGACATTTAAAATTAAAACATTTGAACAATGAGGCCCCCAAACACGTTTTAGCTGTTGGGGCAGAACAATTCCTCTCAGATTAGGCATACAGCAGGTACAGCAAAATCTCATTATTTAATTTTCTCCTATACCAACTGTCTTTGCTTTCTGCAGCCCCACAACCTGCAACCATGACAACCAGTTATAGTTCTTAAAGGTAGCGGCTAAGAACATGAAATGATACATTAGTTGAAGGCTGGAACTTGACCGACAGGCTGCTGCAGAAAGCGATAGACAGCTTATTTCCCTGTATGACACCATAAGGGGAATGATTTTCAAACAGACTATTTTAAGCAAACATCAGCTAAGATGTGGAGAAAGGCAATGAATAAGGAGAAAGAGTTTGTTTTTTTGTTTGTGAATCTCATACACAGGCTTTAGGACACACACAGTTTGTAATGTGAATTTTGCATTCCGTACTTAAGGCTGCTGCTGTTTCCATTTTTTGTTGTTGTTATCTTTAACATTTCTAGTTTTAACTTAATATGCTTTTGTATAATAACTACACAGACATAGTCAGTTAACAAGTAGACATGTCGTAGCGATAGGCGGATTGGTGTAACGTCTGCTGTGAAAAGTGCGCTGTACCGACCTGTTGTGGTGAAGAGAGAGGGGAGCCAAAAAGCAAAGCTCTCGATTTACCGGTCGATCTACATTCCTACTCTCATCTATGGTCATGAGCTTTGGGTGATGACCGAAAGAACGAGATCCCGGATACAAGCGGCTGAAATTAGTTTTCTCCGTAGTGGGCTCTCCCGTAGTGATAGAGCGACGAGCTCAGTCATCAAGGGCGGACTTAAAGTAGGACCACTGCACCTCCATGTAGAGAGGAGCCATTGAGGTGGCATGGGCATCTGGTTAGGATGCCTCCCGGATGTCTCCCTGGTGTTCCGGGCACGTCCCACCGGGATGAGACCCAAGACACGCTGGAGGGACTATGTTTCTCGGCTGACCTGCGAGCGCCTTGGGGTTCCCCCAGAGGAATTGGCCCAAGTAACTGGGGAGAGGGTCGTCCCCGCAACCTGAACCTGGACAAGCGGGATGGATGGGTGGATGGATGGACATAGTCAGCCAATAACGATAGCTGAAGCTGATTGATTTACTGTAAATGGACACATGGACACACATTTGTTTAGGAGGGGACAGGACTCTTTTTACACCCAGCAATGGAGAAGGAGAACCTTATCACTTTTACTATAGAAAATCATATGCTGAGTAAAAATATTGATGTTAACGCAATATTACAATCATCAACCATGTATTTTTCAACTGTCTACATCAAACATTTGATGGTAAAACCCATTATGTAATTTTAATGATTGAAAAGATTTGTTTATATTAATTTCAAACACAACCATAAATGACTGAGGTGTGTCTCTCCTCTTTAGGTCTGACAGTGCAGCGGACAAAATAAGGTAAGCCTGTTTTCCTATCACTCCTCTCGCACCAACAGAAGTGTGAAGGCATGCCGTCGCGCTGCTTGTTTCACGCAGTGCGAATGGGCTCACTGTCACACCATTTACCCCTGCCCACCCAGCTTTCATGTGACACAGATTTGTGGCTTTGTATGGCAAACCAAGGTATCTGAATACGCTTTTACAATTCAGAGAAGCCAGTGGTGAATACAGTTGCAAGCCATGGAATGCTTTTGTTTGTTTTTACGGGACAAACAACATGAGAAACAAACAGGGCTTTGTAAGTTGGACATGGTTTTGGAGCTGCTTCCAGCTCACCAGCCGGCTGCAGATCGGTGGTCACTGTGCACCCAGACTGTGGCCAGAGACACTTCACTGTTCGAGGTGTGAAAACACAGCTGGCACATGAGACTCTGTGCCCACTCGGTTCAAAGCACACATTGGAGTGGGTGAGTGTGATTATGTCTGGCATTTGAAGACTTTTAGGAAGAGCAGGGGGTGCTTTAGGAAGAAAGCTCTAGCTGTTGTTTAAATTGGTTGAAAAATGTTAATGGGCAAAAAAAAAATGTTTTTGTTGAATTATGGTACAACTTTTTAACTTTTCCTTTTAATCCACTTCTCTTCATCTTTTGTATTCTAGCCTCTCTAACCTAATCTCTGTGTCATGTTTCTTCAATGCATCTTTTTTTTGGTCCATATTACATATTCTGGTCCTTAATGAATGAACTAAAAAAACTCATAGCGGCTTTCAAACCTTAGAATTGCTCATTTCTACCTAATTTAAACAAAGATTTCATTGCAATTTTCATTGTCCTTATGTTTAAAATGAATTGCAATAACCAGTTGAGAGAACTGGCTATTTGGACTGAGCTGTATGTGTGATGGTGGGGGAGGATCTGGTATGTTTATGTCTGGTTTGATATGCCTTAGATGGTCAGTCATGCAAGCTGAATGACTCCCACAGGTCTGGGGTTAACCACTAGGAGTCTCTGTAGTCCTGTCAGTCTTGCAGTCTCTTTTAAGCAAGTTGTTTGGTTCATGTTGAGGCCTGCATGTGTTTGCACCCATTTTTTAAAATAGTTGTGCTTTTGCCACTGATAGACCTGAGTTTTCCCACAGAGTGAATATTTCTATTCATTCTATGATTTTCTACTTTTATTTTAGGTACAAGTAAGGAGTGATTACATGATATTATTATTAACATGAAGTGAGCTATGAATTGTTTGTTTTTTGTAACATTCAGATTATAAATGAAGGTGCTTTTAACATCTAAAGATCTAATAGGGAGCAGAATAATGACTTTGTTATATTGTGTTGCTTAATGCATAAGAGTATATAAACCCAAATGAAATATATAGTATGATAGATCCTCTCCTCTAGAAAATAAAATAAAACATTTTGACAGAATTATGCTTTAAATATCTCTAAATTAATCAAAGCAGTTCTTTGGGAACTTTTTTAAATAAAAAAAAGTAAGTTGGTTCTATCAATGGGCACACAATGAAGATAGTCAGTACGAATAATCAGTCATAGAAAATCTGTCTAATTGTAAAAATTATTTATCTTTCACTGAAATGTGCTCTGTTATCCTTTGCTTCATTAAAGCCGCAGTTTGTGTGTAGTTTACAAAGGATAAAATGATCTAAAAAGGTTCCAAACAATTTTACAGCATGAGACGCTTCTGCTCAGGTACTTACTACAGATGTTTACTGTATAAAAGGACATGTAGGCATTATATTAAATCTAAATGTTTGCTGTTTAGGGTAATTTTGATTGTTCAATTTATTTCCTTATGTAATAATTTCTTTGAAAACTTTCTTTAAAATCTTTTATTTATTTTATCTATACAGCCTACTAAGATTTCTGAGTTAAGTACTAGACATGCTGCTAAAATGACCCTGTGACAATACTTAATCCTCTGCTATGCTTCTTACTAGATCCTCTGTTTGAATTGAAGGTTCACTGACCCTCAGATAGGTCCAGGTGACGGCAGTCTTACTTATTTTCGGATAATTAATTTAACTATTATTAGACCAATTGGAAGCACCAGTTGTAAAACTGTATGATTTGATGTAAATTCTTGATATGAAAAAAAACATATTTTTTAGGTGAACTTGGGGGAATAAAGGAAGGATACATTAAATGCAGTTTGTCCTTTTTAATAAGAAGTATCGTTTATACAGTTTCATTTTGGATTTGGTTTGAAAAGGAGAATATCTGCATCTTTTTCGGATGGTAAAGAGCAATTTAATGTATTATAAAAAATTAAAAAGAAACAGAAACTAATATAATTTAATCGGCTTATTAAAGCAGAGCAAATTATTACAGTATGTAGGGTTGGATAGAAAATAGTATTGATTTAAAGCAAACAATACCAGAATAATACATTTCATTTAATTTGTTTAAAAGTTGAAATCTTCCCCAAATATTATAAATCTACTAGAGCAACAAATGGGTTAACTTTATGATAAAAGTTATTCAGTAAAATCAGCTGATTTTAATGCATGACTTTAACATTTTGTTGAAAGCGAACAGAAAGCTCATTCAGTCAGTATAATTTACTGTTACAGCAAAGTTAAACCAAGTTAAACACTCAATGATACGTTATTCAGTGCAGTTTGTAATTGTTTCCATGCACTATTTTTGGATGCTGTGTGACTTGTTCTTTTGCCTCTGAGGTATTGCAGGTTCAGTGTGTACTTAGAAAAACTGTAAATAATTTATGAAAAAAGCCTTCCAACTTTAAATAAGAGACCAGGTAAAACTGCAGTTAGAGACGTTGCAGATTTCCTGACTCATAATTTTATCTTTAAAACATTGTCGTGTGTGTGTGTGTACTGTTCCTTTATCCGGTGTCAGCATTAGTGTTCTGCCCTTCCAGTTGCTGGATTATCGATCATTGTCTCTGTTTGAGATATTAGTCCCCAGTGATGGAGATCAGCATAATGTGATCCCACTCTTTACTTTCCTTTTTTTTACCAACAGCTGCAAAAAAAAAAAATTATAAAAAATATGGATCTTATATATTTTATGAATTAAATGAAATTCTTAAAATAACTCCACTACTGGGTGATGATGGGTTTTATATAATGAGATGACATAGATATTTTGACATTTTACTAGAATGTTGGGAAGAAGATATTCCAATTTTTTAATCTGTAAATAACTGCTAATGAGTTCATTTGAATTCTTTTATATGCTTTTTTTTTCTTTTTTCTGTGACTCTCTATAATTTAAATGATTTGATATAGGGTATATCAAATCATTTCTATCTATGCACATGTTATGTATCCCAGTAAGGATAATGACGATTTAAGAGAATTTGTTTGTCGCTGTGCGCACAAAGGTCATGAGCTTTTAATGCATCATTATATTCAGCAGATACTTTAAGTTAGGTTAATGGCTGCTCCTTCTTCTCTATATTTATGTGCATATATTTGTATATTTTCATGTCGTCATTGTATTGCTGATGTGTCTCACCAGAGAGATGCTGTAAGGCAGTACCATAAAAACATGCCTGAAGTATATACAGTAGATATGAAGAGGAGGGATGGAGAGAGGGATGGGGAGAGAGGGGGATGAAAGAAAAAAAAAACACAAAGGACCACCCTGATTCTCAGAGAGCCTACCGGATTTGCCTTCCCACACACACACCACAGCCCACCGGCCAATCAGATCACTCCCAGCAATGACCCATCCTCCCGCGTACAACTGCTAATCCGTGGCTCAGCACAGCAAAACAGATGTGAGGTGAAAGAGGAGGATGCACGCCTGTGCACCACCTGGACCGAAAGCAGAAAACTGGGTGTGATTCATTTGTGTGGACAAGCAGCAGTATGACCACTGCTGGAATTACAAGCAAAGAAAAGAAATTCATCATCATCTTTTGCGCCAAAGCAAACTGTGCTTTGTGAGAAGAGATATAGACTGACCAAATGTGACAATGAAAGTCTGAGGTATTATTTTCACAGTGATTGAAGAGAGGCCATGAGAGCCAGGAGAGAGGCCAGGATGGTGTCTGCCTGTTCACCATGCACAAACATAAGGTCAGCCGCATTTCCTACCTGCTTTAATTCAAAGAACATAACATCTACTATGCATGAAAACTCAGAGGACAGTTTGCAACATTAAAATTTGATAACTAGAAAATAACCTTTCATGATTTGACAAAGAAGGATTTTCATGATGGATCTTAAAATAACTTGTGGACTTGTTGACCAAGTTGCCCAAAAAATAGTGTATTTATCCGCTGGTAAAGGTATTAATAAAGCTTTATTCTTGATTTCATCACCTAAATGTTAATCTAATTGTTACCCAGCAGTGGCCTTTCTATAACAAACGTCTATAATAACTGTACCTTCTTTATTGCTATACACACTGCGCAATTTTACACATTTTTACCTAACCTTTTGTAAAAGTGGTAACTAGAACTGCAGTTAGCTCTTATTATTGACCTTATTTAATGCAGAAAGTCCTAGTGTAATATGTGATTTTTTTTGTGCATTTGTTGTATGTGATGGGGAAAATGAGTCAAACTTATTTATAAAAGCATCAGTCGTTTATAATCGAATGAATGCAGGGATGCCCTGCTCCAATCTGCACCCTGAACACATACACATATGCAGGAAGGATTTTCCAACTAGCCTTTTAGTCCCTGATGTGCTCGGTACACTCAGGGTCCATTAAAGATAATTCAGTTAGATTTACTGAGCCTGTCAAGGGGGATGCTGGGCAGCCATGACTCATTTATTTTACCCTCAGGTAACTGTCTCTAAGCTGCTCAATGATAAAATTTAATGATTGTCTTACGTTGCTAAAAGAAGTACCTAAATCTGAAGCTGTTTCTATCTTTCTATTTTATATATAGATATATTTTTTCCTGAAGCAAAATATAAAAGTAGTGGATAAAGGAAGCTTCTGTCTGTATATCTAAAACATAAAAATCTAACATTTAATTTTTTTGCAATATTAACAGCAACATGAACATCCTCTGATGACAA